CTGATTCCAAGCTTTATCGTTGTTCAGCTCTGGCCACAGTGACAGCAGTCCTCTCAGAAACTGCTGGTCCCTAGCCAGTAATGAAAGTAGGAAAGAAAAAACTGGCCAGTGTTCTTCTCCAGTTCTGATAAATGACGGTGATTTTAAATAACCTTTTAATTTACGAACAGATCCTTGGAAATGTAACCAGCATGACCCAAGAAAGGGGTGAGTTCAGACTCAGCCAAGAGGACAAGGCTGGACATGCTTTGGCAGTGGGAGGACCAGGCTGAGTAACATGCACCCATGCTTACTGCTGTCTCGGGAACATCTCTGGGAGCTGTGAAACCTGTGTGGACCTTCTGCCATCATAGACCAAACCAGATGGCATTTTATCAAAAGCCAAAGAGCCTTGCTGGAATAACTCCAATGGAGCCCTCTGATTAGACACCTATCTATGAATCAAATGGGACACAAGGAGACAGGGCTGGAGTTTAGCAGAGAACTAGATCTTACAAGTACTTGGTGTGAAATTCTTGATGGGATGCAATGAAAAGCTGCACCTAGTCCAAACCAGACATCACATCGCATACAACAATATAATTTCCTCCAACACTGTGGACAGCTACATTTCTATCAGATACCAATAATTATTATCTGGGAGCGGACAGGTTTTAATGAAATATTATGGCTTCTCGTTGTTTCATGTTGAAGAGCTTAGAGTTGGGCAGTTGATAAGAAATGGTCATTGATAAGGCATCCCAGCAGCATAAGTGCTGGAGTAGGCAGATTCTTGGTGGCAGTGACCAACCCAGTATTGAACTCCTTTGTAAAGTAAGATTCACATAAAGATTCGGGTAAAAGGTGATGATAATTGGGTGCCATCAGGACCTGCCAGAAGGCAGGGAAGGATATACAAACCTGTAGGTGTTGGTATGGCACTGTTCCACCCTAGTTTTCTTCATATCATGCACATACAGGCATCACTGTGCTTTAAAAAACTCTGCCCATCTCCCACCCACACCTCTCAGTTTCTAAGGACTGGAAAAGTGCAGAACTCTCTATAGCTAATGAGATGCTTACCGTTGTCACTCTTGTCACATTTTGGCTGGAAACCCAGCTTTGAATCTCCTTCTTCCTTTATTTTGAGCTGATAAGTGGCAGGACTCCTGCTTGTCACCCAGGATTTCTAACGATCAAGGTACCGAAGTTCTGAGTTGAAGTAATTGTCCTGTTAACTGTTGGACAACTAAGAGTGCTGCAGAGTACATATTTGGTCTTGGTTCCCCAATAAGCCTCCTAGCCCTCAGGCTTACAAGTCAGATGTTGTTTTCCTTTCTTCCTCTCCCTCTGTCCTGGTTGACAAGCAATAAGGATGTCCTGTAGAGTTGTTCTGAAAACCTAGAGCAGGACTGATGATATCTGGTTTCAGCACACCACACTCCTGTACCCTTAGGCTGTGCGTGATAAGGGTGCAAGCCCTTGATCTGCAGTGGGCAGAGCAGAGATATCCCCAAGGATATCTCCCAAGGGGGGAGGTTCAACCAGTATTAGGCAGGACTCTAGGAGAGGGTTCATCACTGAACATGCTAATGGGGAGATTTAGTACCATGTACACAAATCTCTTTCTTCTCTAGTCTTTGTTTGCAAGTTCTTAGAATACTACTATGGTTCTTAGAATACTACTATGTAGGAAATGGCTATTTTTAGGTGATATTTCAACTTCTGTCCATATGATCCAACAAAACGTTAAGTGCATAGGGAGTTATGCTGGTAGGACTGAATCCTCTGTGAGCACTGCTGGAGGAGGAGCTGTTAAGCCTTTGAATGCACATAATATTATAGCAGTGACACAGTGCCTGAGCTCTCTGTGCCACACTCCCTTGTGATCTGCAGACAATCCAGAGTCTTTCTAAACTTGTCTGAAAGCAACTGGACTTTTTCTATGGATCGCATTGAGTTGCAGTTCAAACTTTGTGTCCCCAGTGGGAGAGAATGAATGCAACCGGTTGCATGTAGAGGGAAGATAATTTAACAGCTAAAATTGATTCACTACACAGGAAATTGCTTTAATGTCGTGGAGATCACTAAAGTCCTCATCTTGGCATTTTGCCATGGAAACCACAGGGGATCAAAGGAAAAGAAAGTCATTGCCCATTTTTAATCATGGTTCTTTTTTTTTTTTTTTCTTTATTGAGTGATGTTTTTGCAGCCATGAAAAGCCACTTCACCATTGAACTTACACAATGAAGCTTTAAAAGCCACGCTCAAGAATTTCCAGGTATATGTGACCACATGTTCCATCAAATTCAGAAAGACTGTGAGGGTCTAAGCAATGCTATGCTCATTATTAACCAGGAGGGATGGCTCTTGCACAGAGGACACTGCAGGCATTTGGGATGGCTGGGTTTTAGTGATGATTTTTGCCTCAGACTTCTCAGGTGACCTTCATTAAAGCTAATTATGTTAATTAATTTCTGGGCAGTGATTGGAGTTCCTCACATGGAAAACAGTTTTTGGCAGCAAGCGATTATCCTTGCTTCCATAGATAAAAAATGCAATTGGCTGAGCTTCCCTTTCCTCAGCATTTGTATCATGTTTTTATGATTTCTGAGTTCTGATTTAATCTGTAGAGGGATCCAGTGAAAGTCAGTATGCAATATCGTTGCTTCTCAGAAAGGCCTAGAGCATTAGACCCTTTGCTTTTAAATGAAAATGGTTAATTCACATGGAAAGGAGGGACAGATATAGCAAAGACTTGTCATCCTTAGTTGTAGATTTGGCCTCTACCAGTCATGTGAACTGGTGTAAATCAGCTTAAGAAGGGGGTGATCCATGGAAATGGCCCCATGGACAAGGAAAAGCTCACTGATCTCTCACTGCAATCTATTTTTCTCTGCCTGATATTCAAGTGCATTAAATAATGTGTCTTTTATACGAATAATTACTGTTCACTTGCAGTTGCCTGCTAGGCATTTCTCCAGCACAGAGGAAGCCTGATGCTTTGTTCTGAGCAATAAAGACCTGAAAAGACAGCACCACTGAGCTGGGCACACAGCAAGGATGAAACACACCCACGATGCAGGGCAGATGAAGCACCCTCAGGAAAGCTGGAGGGGAAGATGCATGGGTAAGGCCACCATGAGGCTCAGGAGGTACCTGGTCACCAGGCAGGGTGGGAAAGCAGCCAGGGATGAGCACAGAGTGCCTGCAGCCAGGGACCAGCACACAAGTTCATGGCATGTCAAGGAGGCAGGCAGGCCAGGGCTTTGCATGCCTCTCCATGAAGGGGCAGTAGAAATGGAAAGAAAGAGTGTTAAGTCTCATTAGCCCTACTGGGCAATTCTGTGCTTGAAAGAAATATTACTTTAAATGGCTTGCTAATGAATTTAAATCAATGAGCACAGATTTTGATGCCTTGCAAAATCCATGTTAAAAGACCGGTCCATTTTTTTCCCCATGGAGGGTGTTATTTTCAACTCAAAGTGCGTGTGAAGAGATTTAAGTGGACAGATTTGCACTAGACATCAAAAAGTTACCATGAACTCTGCATTTCCAGAAATCAAAGCATTTCTTTTGAGCTGGATAAACAACACATTTGGGAGATTCACTTAACCTAGCACTATATCCCAGTGCTGAACTAGAGCAGCAACCAAGCAGCAGGATGCTTAACCCCAGACCCAACTGATTTACACCAGCAAGTCATTAAGTACCCACTCATATAATTATTTCTACAGTCAGATCTATTGTGTTTGCATCTGCATGTTCAGGAATGGTGTGCTGAAGCTCTCTCTGTGGTACTTAGGTTGATGGATTGTGGGTGGATAGCTGCAAGAGTTGTGTGCAGGATACCATTGAATCATAGAGTCATCTAGGTTGGAAAAGACCTTCAAGATGAGCAAGTCCAACCATCAACCCAACCTGATGAGTCTCATTATTAAACTATGCCTGTCAGTGCCACATCCACATGTCTCTGAAATACCTCCAGGCCTGGGGACTCCACCACTTCCCTGGGCAGTCTGTTCCCATCCTTGACCACCCTCTCTGTGAAGAAATTCTTTCTAATGTCCAATCTAAGCCTCCCCTGGCACAACTTGAGTCCATTTCCTCACAACCTATCACTTGTCACCTGAGAAAAGAGACTGATCCCCTCCTTGCTGCAACCTTTCAGGTAGTTGTAGAGCAATGAAGTCTCCCCTCAGCCTCCTCTTCTTCAGACTTAACCCAATTCCCTCAGTCACTCCTCATGCCTTGTTTTCTAGTCCCTTCACCAGCTTTGTTGCTCTTCTCTGCACATGCTTGAACAATTCATCATCCTTCTTGTAGTGAGAGGCCCAAAACCAAACACAATATTTGAGGTGCGGTCTCACCAGTGCCACATACAAGAGGACATATACTCATGATGCACAAATCTAATGAAATTTGTTCCCACCACTACTGCTGCAGTATCACCTGGTTGTGACAAGCCCAAATCAAACCACTGCCCTGGTCTGGAAACTGCACTGGATGATGTCCTATACCATTATATGCCATTACATGTCTGGCATTGCCAGACAGTTGCAGGATATTCCAGCGCTCAACCCTACACTTGCAATAATATACTTACAATGCAGGAATCATTTAACAACTTTTTACCATGGCAAAAGAACTGTAATGTTTTAGTAGTTGCATGATTATTACCTCTATACATGAGTCTTACCTAAAAAACAAAAAACAAACAAACAAACAAAAAAACACATCCAGCCATCTAATTCTTGCAGTGGTGTTGCCTTCACTGTGGTGGTTCTGGGGATCACATATGGTACTGATGCTTCTACTGGCACAGATGTTTTCAATGGTCTCTCATTTTGAGAGTGATTTGGTCTAATTTTGTATGAGGTTGTCATGCTTAATTTTAGGCGACCTCCTTACCAGCTCACTGCCTCTGTCTCAGCCTTTCTTCCTCCACTGCCTTTGTCTGTGTCTTCCTCAGGACCGAGAAAAATGAGGTAAAATATCAAGTGGAACATCTTAAGACATGATTTCTTCACAATGGTTTTATTGCTTGGTTTCAGCAGTGTCAACCACAGAGAAGAACCTCCTCTGAAGCAAGGAGATTAACCAATACAAAGGAAAAAAAATAGCCAATTCATTGCATATGTACAGAGTCAGAACAAAATAAATAACATCAGGCAAAAGGCCATGAAACAAGGCAGAGATTTCACCTGTGCTGAGCAAGCAGGCCTGGTCTCACTGGCATGGAGAATACATCACAAGCACCTAGATACATAACAATCCACAGAGATGTGGCTTAACAGTGATTCTCTGTTCACAGCCAGTTTTCATCACTCTTTGCTGTCAAAGCCTATTTACAGGAGGGCAGAGCAGAGGTGCTTACAGTTTGAGTGAGAAGAAAAGAGTCAGTTGGCACCAGCTACTGAGAAAGAACAGCCTGAGCTGCGTTTGAAACAGAGTATGAAAAATACACTCTTGAATTCAAAAGTGCCTTTTTAAACTTAATTTATCATCCACAGAGTATCAAAAGTGTTTTTTTTTTTTTTTTCTTTTTTCCCAAATCTGCTATTCAGATTTCCTCTATGTACAAGATTACAATATCCACAAAACTAGGGTATAAAACATCAAGTGCTCTGCTGATGCCAATCTGCATGTCCTAAAGGCTTGGCCCTCAGAACCAAAATGGGCATTATTTCCATTAGAGATCCGTTACAGACTTTCCAGTCCCAACGACTATCTTCTTCCCTGTGATTTCACAGTATGCTAGAAATAACTGGGGTTTCAAACCCAGGGCTCTTCAATACATAATGCAACACCATGCAAGCAAACAGGACTTGGGACTTTCAGACAGTAGGGGGTGGAAGAGGTTGTCCACTGGCCCAGGAAAGACATGGTTTGTGACTTTACAGATCTCTGAGGGAAATAAGATCAGTCACTGTAATTATATCTCATCATGCTGGTATGTAAATAATGGGTGAAAAATTGACTGTCTGAAAGAAAATGGATAGAAATCTACTCTGCTCTGGATTTGGGGATGTCTGACTCCAAGTACTAGTCCCGGACTTTATTCTTTTTCCTGTTACACCAGTTTATATCCAGAATGATACCATCAGAGTCATTCCAGATTGATATGGGTATGTACGAGGCCAAGAGCTCGGCCTCCTACTCATCGAGGGTCATCTACAATCAGGAGGCGTCATGGTCCTGTAAGCACTGGTCTGTGAAAAGTGCAAAGTTGCATTGCAAGTTGGGGAGCTCAGGACTGTGGTCCTTGTCCCCAAGTCTGGCACATTCGTCCTGGTGCAGAGATGCCGTGGGAGGCCAGGACACAGCAGAGAAAGGGCATGTTTTACACGGGCTGTGGTGGTAAACCTAGATTCCTCTTCCATATGGGGGCTTCTCAGGCTCCTTGATTCTGGTATCGCATGCAGTCCCAGAGAGCATTGATCAAACCAGGTGCAAACACGACAGAATAAAATGAGCTTTGCTACGGCACATACTGGCACTTCCAAGTTCGAGGAACTTCCTTCTAGTCTGAAAATATCACATATTTCCTGCAGAAACCCAATGGTTTCTGCCTTGTTTGAACATTATGGTGATGGTAGAAGGAATGAAGGCAGAGGGATGCCACAAAAATCTGCTAACCCTTACAACAGAGCCAAGCGACATTCACTCCTGAGCTTTCTTTGTAACTTCATTTTGCTTTTTAAAATCCAACAGGATTTTTTCTAATCAGAAAAAAAATAATAAAATCAGATGTTTCATCTCCTGGTCTTGCTTGGGATCCTTTTTTTTTTTTTTTCAAAACTGCAGTAACGATGCTGCTGCACATCGTTCTGTTTTTAAAACCTAATTTCAATTTAATGCTCTGAAATTCTGCCACAGCCTAGAATTTCTTTACTGCTCTTTTTCAAGCCCTAAATGTGGTCATATTCTCATTTCTAGCTGCTTATGAGAGGGCCACTGAGCTACATAGGTCCTGGCTGAACAGAAATATCTAGTCTAATGTTAGCATTGAACTTTGTACCTCTAGACCTTAAGAAAATAAATTATTTTTTATAATTTAATTGTTCCATGCATATTAATAATTAAGAGTTTAATCACTGAAACCTTGAGTGACTAATTAATGGGGTTGGATTTGATCTCTCACTGGTATAAAGAAGGGAGTAAACAGTTCCAGGCTGAAGATAAAGGAATTTTTCTAAAGTCAAATTCCAGTTACAAGCTTGTGTACATCAGGAGTCACTGCAGTGAACTGATAGATGCATGTGGGATCAGAATTTGGCCTGATTTCTGTAAAGTGTTTCAGAGTCCAACTTCAAGATCCTCAAACATGTCAAAAAGCTTAACACATCCAGTTATACCTCCTCAACTTCTTTTGTATTGAAGTAACTCCATTGCATTCACCGGAGTCGTTCCTGTCTTACCATGAGTTAAAGAGGTCAGACTTGTGCTTTGTAACAAACTGCAGTAGCTCTGAGCACGGCGTCATGTTTTCTGCATTGCTTTAGCACAACGCGGTTTGGGTTGCCATTTGGGGTTGCAGCAAGGTCCATGAACTCTATGTTATTGATGCGTTGGGTGAAAAAAAAATTCAGAGCAGAGAGGCCAAGTTATCCAGCCAAATTCCTGCACTAAGTCACCTAAACAAGGGCCTGATCTGAAAGCCAGAGCAGGCATGAGAAACATTTTTTCCATCAGTTGATTGTTCATATCCCTAGAGAGAAAAGCTCTGATTTCATCCCCGGCTCCTCTGTTCTCCTGAAATATGGGGCCATCATAGCTGGGCTGGCAGCTCTGCCCCTGTCTGCATCCCTGGGGTTGCCATGCCTGTCACAGCAGGTATTCACCACATCCATGTCAACCTTTCAACACCCCTGACAGCATAATGGCAATGCTGTTGGATTTTCAGTGATTAAGTAATTGCAAGCAGGATGCCTGGGAGCACTGTTGCTGGCATGTTAATGTAGTTAATTTCTGAAGGAGCTCCTCAGTTTAGGCCATGGCCTATCTTCAGGCTGGTGGTGCAGCTCGGGGGATGCAGAGGGACCTGTTGCATGGATAAACGGCCAATTTTTTCCCTGTTGTGTTTCTAAAAGGCAAGCCTCTTCCTGCTGCCTTTGGCATGTGGTTGATGCTGGCACAGCTAAGCACAGGGACGAAACTCACCCTGCTTGTGGCTCTCAGGCAGGGACCTTCTCCCACAGAGATGCTGCCTGAGACAGATGGGACACGTTTCCCTCACGTCTCAGGCAGGAGAGGAGGCTGCTGCCACTGGTGCTCCACTTGCACTCAACAGCTTTGGGCTTAAAGTCCCTGCTTTGCTTCTCTGGCACCTGGGATTCACGTTCACACCTTAGACACTGACAAGATTAGGCAGTTTTCCTCTGTAGCCAAGTTTGCTGGGCATTGAGAGCTACCACCATGACAAATGATGAGGTCATGACTTTACAGCCTGAGGACTCAGCTCTTTCCCAGACTGACACTGCTCCCAAACTCTGAACCAGTTTACAACACCAGGAAACATTTTACAGCAAATGTGAAAACTTGGAAACCTAATGAGAACTTTCCCCCTCTTCTCCCAGGCATCCCAGCAGATGGCCCTTCACTTGGTGAAGTGCAGAGCTGGGTCCAGTCCCTGCTTTGAACCATGCATGGGAGAATTGTTTGTGCTTGTGGGACTTCTCCAGCAGGTTCTGTGTGAGTCCTGGTCCAGGTCTGATTGCAGTCACCACAGCAGCACCAGCTCCAAACAAAAATTGCCTGCCTCTGAGATCCACAAGGGGAATTCAATAGGGACCTTGCTCCTCAGGGTGCCAGGCCATAAGGGCTTTGGTGCAAGCAACATGTGGGAATTTTAAACACCCTATTGGTTTTTCTGGATTTTGGGAATTAGAGAACTGCTAAGAGGATTTTGAAGACCTCATGGCACATTGGTGTTGGATTCTGACTGCTCATGATATGGTTTCAGTGCAGCATAGCCATAGAAATGATAGCTTGTACCTGGCTAGCATTCAGTCTTATCAGCAGTTTAATTCCAGGAGCACGGAGCTCAGTGTGACTATCTTCCTCCACAAATATCTATCTATTCTCGTATTTTTTTTCAGGTTGGATAGCCATGGTTACACTGTGACAGCATCTGAGCTAGCTTGCTGGAAACCCATGAGTACACGTCCACCCCTCAGAGCAGTTGTATCAGACTATCTGGTGCCCCTTACTGACTTCAGCCCTCTCTGCTATCCTCAGTCCTGCATGTGGAGAAATATATTGGCAACATCCAGCTCAGATGATGACAAGTATGGCTCCAGAGAGGGGTATGCAGTGGAAAAACAGCTCCTCAGAACTGAGAAAGGAATGGGATGTCCTGGATATCCTGGTCTGCAGCCCTCCTCCTGGGCTCAGTGTGTTTTTCTGGCAGCGAATCAGAGATGCTTCAAGCAAGCAAGCAAACAAGCAAAACAAACAAAACAAACAAAAACAACCCTCAAACCCATTAAATAAAGAAGTTTCCCTTCAAGGAACTACAACTTAATTTTGAAGAAAGTCCATTTGTTGTTAATACCTGGTGGAAAAGTTGAGATCTTGGATTTTCCACCACTAGTGTATAATGGGTATAACCCCAAATCAAAAGCAATTGGGTGAGACACAACTGTGAGCATCTGCATCTTCGTGCTATTTTCTAAGTTTGGGTTTGAGGAATTGCCTGTAAGTGTGCGCTGTGACGTGATGCCCTATGAGCTGCCAGCTCAGCATATTTGAACAGGATTTGGTTTCTCCTTTCTCCTTCTTCCCTCCATTGAGAAAAGAAAACAAAAACAAAAAACACTCCACTATTGCCTTGGTTTTAGCAGGCTCTATGTACATTCCTCAGATAGGGATTGCCCCAATATGGAAACTAATAGACCTTCAAAAAAAGATGTAAAATGCACATGCACATCTTAAAGATCTAACAGTGCCTTCATCACAGGATGAAAGCTCCCTGCAAAAGCTGAAGAAGAAATCAATTTAATAGCTCCTTCGCTCCTTCCTGACTCCTGGAGTGCCAGTTACGTGCTGAGCCAACCTTGTTTTGATGAAAGCAATTTTGCTTGCTGCTGTGAAGCTAATTTTTTTCATCTGGAGAGTGGCTCCTTATGGCAGGTCTGATTCAATTAAGGATTACAGGGTTCTACATCTCCCTTCCCTGGCAGTGTGTGCTAAGCAAGTGCAAACGAATTACAGACCAATTGCTTTCCCCTGATCCCTAATGATGCTGGGTGCAGTAATGCACCAAGATCGATGGGTGAACTTAAAAAGAATGAAAAACACAGCCGTTCTCCGCTTTTGGCATCTGTACCTGGTTTTTATACATGCAAATCGAGTTTCCTGTTCATTGAAAACAACCAAACAAGACACGATGCCACGAAGGCAGTGCAGAGAAGGACGTTTGTGCTGCTCCTTCTCAGCAAGCTGCTTTTCCAGAGGGCACCCAACAATGCTCCGAAACTTTTTGCTAATGAAGGTGGTGAGCAATTGGCAGAATTCGCTCCAACATTGGGGCATCCTCCAAGGGGCATTCCTGGTGCCGCAGCTTCTTCTTCGCACGGGTAAAACACAGGGCAGGGGTCGTGCGCTGGCCTCTCCCCTTCCTGCTCATGTTCCTCCTGTCCCTTCTTGCCATCTCCGACTTTCTTTGGTGCCTTATCACCACCTCTTAACTGGGCTTTTGGCACATTCAGAAGTTTGTTTTTTTTTTATTTTATTTTTAATTTTATTTTATTTTTTCCACTTCTTGCCTTCATCTCTCCTTTACTGGCTCATTCTGTAATCTTTTAAAAAGTGCAATTTATCTGTTTCAGAGATGCCGGTTCTGGTAAAGCCACTAAGGACTCAGGCTCTCCCCTCCCTTTCCCCCCTTACTTCAGTATTTATAATAGGATCTCCCAGGCTCTCCTCAAGTGACAGGGACCTTTACTCATAGTTATCAGCCCCTGAGGGCACCAACTTAGAGCGAAAGGTCTGAAAAGAGGGAGAGGAACAGTATTTCTCTGCCTCTTAGCTTGTCTGATCTTGTTCTGGATGCCAGTGGCTTTTCCAGTACTTTGTCCTGTTGGCTCATGCAGAGCACATCATTTCACATGGGTTTGTCAATGTGTCACTGGTTCCTGGGGATCCTTCTCTCCCTTGGATGCTCAGTACTTGGAGAGCCTCTCCCCATCACACCAGTGAGAATTCGGCCTGGAAGCTGGAGCACCGGCGTGTCTTTGGCGAGCATTTGGTCAGCATGGAGATCTGGGTGCTGAAATTGGTGCCGTTGCTGCCTAAGGAAGGGTGGTGATACTTCATATCTGAGTCCAGGAACCGCTCCATGTGCCACCTTCGCCACTTTCGCTTGAGCTCAGCCTGGACCTAGGTGGTGGAAAGACAAATATGTCAGCAGAAGGCAGTTGTCTATTGCTCTTGTTTGTGTGAGCAGCAATGGGCAAGCCATTGGGGGGGGCCAAGAATTATTTTATACAGGTCACTAAACTCAACCTGGTAAGAACTGTTAGCCACTTAGAGAAGAGGTGACACTCCAGTCAATAAACTAACAGTGCAGAAATTCCTGAGCTTCAGCAGAAAGGCCAGCAGAAAGTTGTTTATCTGACAAGGTGAAGGTGTCAGACTACTTCAATGGAAACATATTCTATACTTTGTGTGCAATTAGGATTTCTTTTTACTGCCCTGTTTTTGCCCAAATACAACTGATTTAACTACAGCTTGTTTGTACAGCCGTCAATACAGCTGCACTTTTTTGATAGAAGCTCCTTGTTCCTGCTCAGAGAGTTTACACACATCATCTGGTCTGCACTGTTCAGATTCAAATCCTGAACAAATCTGGCCACCGTCCCTGTCCCCTCATGCAGGCTTCCAGTGCAAAGTTTTGGATAAAAGGTTTTAGGCTCCATTTTAGGGCCGGTACTTTTCAATATTTTTATAAACGATCTGGATGTAGGAATAGAAGGTTTTTTGAGCAAGTTTGCTGATGACACCAAACTTGGAGGAGTTGTGGACTCGAATGAGGGTGGAAAGGCCTTGCAGAGGGATCTGGATAGGTTGGAGAGCTGGGCGATCGCCAACCGCATGAAGTTCAATAAGAGCAAGTGCCGGGTCCTGCACCTGGGACGGGGAAACCCTGGCTGCACGTACAGACTGGGTGATGAGACGCTGGAGAGCAGCCTAGAAGAGAGGGATCTGGGGGTCGTGGTAGACAGCAAGTTGAATATGAGCCGGCAGTGTGCCCTGGCAGCCAGGAGGGCCAACCGTGTCCTGGGGTGCATCAAGCACGGCATCGCTAGTAGGTCAAGGGAGGTGATTGTCCCGCTCTACTCTGCGCTGGTGCGGCCTCACCTCGAGTACTGTGTGCAGTTCTGGGCACCACAGTATAAAAAGGACATGAAACTGTTGGAGAGTGTCCAGAGGAGGGCTACGAAGATGGTGAAAGGCCTGGAGGGGAAGACGTACGAGGAACGGCTGAGGGCACTGGGCCTGTTCAGCCTGGAGACGAGGAGGCTGAGGGGAGACCTCATCGCAGTCTACAACTTCCTCGTAAGGGGGTGTTGAGAGGCAGGAGACCTTTTCTCCATTAACACCAGCGACAGGACCCGCGGGAATGGGGTTAAGCTGAGGCAGGGGAAGTTTAGGCTTGACATCAGGAGGAAGTTCTTCACAGAGAGAGTGGTTGCACACTGGAACAGGCTCCCCAGGGAAGTGGTCACTGCACCGAGCCTGTCTGAATTTAAGAAGAGATTGGACTGTGCACTTAGTCACATGGTCTGAACTTTTGGGTAGACCCGTGCGGTGTCAAGAGTTGGACTTGATGATCCTTAAGGGTCCCTTCCAACTCAGGATATTCTATGATTCTATGATTCTATGATAATGGTATGAATTAGACGAAATAGCTGTGTCTGAGGGTCTCTGGGATCAGCAAGCACAGGAAGAGTACAACAACACAGATGCAAACCCCAGGACTGGAATTGTGAAAAAGTCAAGATCAATTTCTCTAAGGTAGAATCATATTCACCTGGTATTGGCCTGTGCATAACAAGTCACATCAATCCTATTTGGGTTTGGGATTGTTAATAGGTTTGTGTGGCAGTGCCTTGCTCTGAGCAGGCTTACCAGCAAAGGTCTCTGCTGGAGCTGCATGCCACTGTGTGATGCACACATGGCATCAGCATGGCTGAGAGAAGAAGCAGAGCTGTAAGAGAGCAAGTTGTGATTCTGGACACTCTTCCTCTCCCCAGGAAGCTGGAACACAACCCAGATCACAGCTGTTTCTTGTCAGTTTATTGAGCTGAACGTGCTCCAGCTGACAGCAGCAGCTCCAAGCTCTCAGCTGCTCACACCTACTTGGTAGACTTTGCAGTTTGGGTTTGCTCAGTCTCTGCTGAATTTCTTACAGGCAGACGGAGCATGGTACAAAAATATCAGTGGTAACAGGCCTGCATCCTGGCAGTGGGCCTGAGTCTGTGGAGGTTTCCTTGAGAGGGTAAGCATGAGTAGGACTCAGAAGATGGGCTTTATCACCCACTGAAGGAGATCCCTTCAGATCAGGGTTTATACAAGGTTATATATGAGTTTTGCTGATGCTGTCTCAAGAGTAAAGGAAAGACTCAGTAGCAGAAATACTAAAGTGCACATTAAAGCCCTAAAATGTTTATTAATTATACTGGAAACTGTCTGCCAAATGGCTGAGTTGTTTTTGTGGGGTGAACCATTTGACTTGGAAACGTTCCCCCAGTGTGGTAATATCAGAAAGGGGACACTCCTCAATCTGCTCTCTGCAAGCATTCAATTTGCCTCAGCTGCAAACATTAACCAGAGAACATTGTTGATCTTACCTCCCCGTTGAGGAAACAGTACAGAACCGCCACCACAAATCCCTAGGGGAAAGGAGAGAACAGGCTTTTAGCACATCATAGTTTATACTCCTCAAGACCACAACTCAACCTCACTCCAGCCCTGGAGAAAGGCACTACTGAGGTGCCCCTTAGAAACCACTTGGTTGCATCTTCCCTGTAAAAGCAGCAGGGGAAGATTGGTTAGGGTACACTGAAGCATGGCTATGAGTCCAAAGCTTGCTCCAGATTGATGTTTAAAGCCATCACCAGTCAGCTCAGCTGTAAGTGGAGCACTTGGTCACTCTGACTTGGATGTTAAAGGCAACTGCATGGGATACCAGAGCCAGCTTGCTTCTCACAGCTAAAACTGGGGAGATCTAACTGTGCTCACTAGTGTGTTGTCAAGGTCAGAAATATCTTAGGTACAGAATAAGGCTAAACTGTTCCTTTCCCATCACCCCTATATTTTGAGAATCTCACCTTTCATTGAAAAAAACAAAATTCTCTCCAGCCCTTATGTTTGCAAACACTAAAGACAGGAACTGAGAACAGGTCCATCTAACTCTCAGAGATGCCAGATGTGAAGTGATGATGTAGGCAGGGATGTTAACAAATATATCTAAGCACGTCTCTGACATGTGTATGGTACATGGCGAGGGATTCTGCCTGGAGGCTGTGCCAAAGTGGCTAGAGCCAACTAATGGATGGGTACAAATGTACATTATTTTATTTTATTTTATTTTATTTTATTTTATTTTATTTTATTTTATTTTATTTTATTTTATTTTATTTTATTTATTTTTTTCTCCATGCAACAGCAAGGCCAAGGTTAACAGCCCAGTTCTGGAAGTGACTGAAGTGAAGTGTGTGAGAAGGTCTTCAAAGAAAACTCTGTCAGGGTTTCCTCAAGATTAATGCATCCTCCCGTGGAATCTGCCTCCTTCACCTGCCCCTTGCCTTGGGCAGGATCTAGAGGCAGGACTTTGCTAACAGAAGAGATGGTGCACGAAAGTCAGCTTGTTGAAGACAGAGTAGAATGCCATTAATGGCCAGAAAAACACCCTTGCTGAAGGGTGTTTATCTCATCTTACTGTGTTAGTGATACATAAACTGAATGGAGGTGCTTGATTTTCTCTGTTAAGTAAAACAAGCAAACAAGCAAACAAAAAGCAACTAACTGGGGACTAGCTTATAAAGATATATTTTCTTTCCAACTGCCTAAAATGAGGAGAGAGAATCTCCTCCTGGAATTTCAGGAGGCAAAATATAACATTATCTTCCATCCCTGCTGAGCAGGAGTGAGGAGATTTTTCCCCAAAGGCATAAGAACTGTATTGGGTACATCCAAGGAAAACCCAGCTCAGATGTTCATATATTCCCATGACGGATGTGGTGACTAACTGGTGGTCCAAAAGGTGACTTACCTGGAACGACCCAACCACGAGCTCAAAGACCAGCTTAACTTCCGTTTTGAAATTGTCAGGGAAGAAAGCAAACATGATGTAGTGAATACCAAAGAGAGGGATCAGCAGCAAGGTGGACTTGGCCAGTCTCCTGTTGGAAAGACAAACATGAGTCATAAGGGGAGAGGGAAGAGGAGCTAAAGGGTAAGCTGATGAGAAATCCTGCAGCTGAGCCTTATGCAACCCTGAAACTTTAATTTGCTGCTGTACATATTTGCCGATTGCCAGGATCATGATGTTGTCGCCCGCATCACGAACGTTAAATGTCTTTGTTTGTTGTTAGGCAATGTGATACGGGCCATTTACCCTGAGGTCCTGGGAACATCCAGGTTTTCAACAGCAGCCTCGAGCGAGCAATGTCAGGATGTTGCCCTCACCCACTGGGCAGAAATGTCTGGGATATAGCAAAGCGAGGGAGCTGAGATTAGCTCCTCACAGCTTAACGTCCCTAAGATCCCCCTGAGAACTTGGGCTGGGATGCCATGAAATGTGGAACCAGACCCTCAGCTGGGCATGGTTGCTCTATGCCTGTTCACGTGAGCCAAAGAGCGTTATGGGCACATTTCCACACGCTTAATTTCCTTCTCATTAACAGCTCTCAAAGAAATACACATCTTTGGCTGAAGCAGAGTGATCAGCCCTAGATCATTTCTCCTTGGCCTGCAGACTGCAGATGGCTGGTGATTTCAGATGTGGTGACAAATTAAAATGTGATATCTTTATTCCCAGTAACTTCAATGGAGGTATTTCTTTCTCCCCTCCTCTCTTCTTCCCCTCCCACCAGAGATCTTTTTTCATCTCTACAAGCTAAATCATCATCTAGTGCTGTCTTTGTTTGCTTAGGATTTCTGAAAATTACAGCTTCTGGGAGAGAAATGGTATGTTTAGCTCAGAATAATGACAGGCTATCGCACAATGAATGTCTCCAAAGGAGGGGGATGAGCAGTATTAGTGCTTAATGGCATCAGGCTGGGTAATCAGTGGTCTAATTAGGAAGAGATGATAATTTATTAAATCTAATCATTATTAGAATCTAGCTGACAAAAAAATAAATAAGGATTTAAGAAATTAAGAATTTAAGGATGCTTAAGGTGGTTTTGGCTCCCTTGGTCACCTACATCCTCCAGCTTCCTCTTCTCCCAGAGACTTCTGGAGGAATTGAAGGTAAGGCTAAGATGCTGGAAATACTTGTTCTTCCATACACAAACCCTTCACCTCCCAGATCCCATAAGGCTCAATCCCCTCAGATCATCTTCATTTGTTTTCCATCTGTATAAGCCCACTGGGAAGGCTGCTGTGCCAGCTTTATGCAGATGATGTTCATCAGTGTATCTCCCAGAAGACATTTCCAGCTTTCCCTGGGCCTGGCCCAAAGACAGTTTGATGTTAAAGCTCTGGTTGGAGGCTGTGGTTCTCCAAGGAAATCCTGCTGGCTGCAACTCATTCCAGGCAACATCAGTGCCTGCAGGAAGCTGAGGAACTTTCCAGGAATATGCCTTTTTCTCACCCCATCCCACACTAGCAGGCACCTCTCTGCTCATAGTTAAAACTGACATAGTTAAATATGAACATATCCCATGCTCAAAGTTAAAACTGGACTCAAAATCTGAGTTTTCATTCATGTCTTGCTCTGCCAGAGGATGTCTTGTCCCCAGGAAAGCAAGGACTGTCACTATCATCACTGACCATCAGAGTACCATGTTACTTGCTGTAAGATGCAACTCCCTCCATTACCTACATTACTATGATCCACCCCTAATTACCCCCAGCTCCTGACAAATGAGAAAGCAAGTCATTTTCTGAGCAAATCTCATTTTTCTATCAACACTGGCTTTGCAGAGATCTCTCCTCTCCAGTCTTTCAGGAACAAGTCAAGCTAAAGGAATCTGAAGTGATGCCACCTTCATCTACCCTATTTGTAGGGGAGCTGTTTACAGCCTCCAGTGGATTAGAAAATTTTGTCTTATCATTTCAGACAATGTTGAGGTCTCAGGTACAGCTTTTTTTTTTTTTTTTTCCCTCCTGGCTGAACCCTAGCAATGAGCAGTGCCTATATACCTGTACACTTAGGAGCTCCCTCCTCCAGTTTGCACAGCACCTCAAACCAGTCTCTTGCTTCCAGCACTTAGCTTCCCCAAAATACTTCGTGATGTTTTGTCTCTTCTGTCATCTTCAAGGCAAGCTCCCTCTTGTCTGGCCTCATAATATTAAAAAGACCTCCCTGAAAACCACAACAAGGAAAACTGCTGTCCCTAGTCATGGTGTAATTTCTCCAACGAAGCTGACTGTGCAGGAGACAGAACTGCTTAAGAGGTTGTCTCAAGTTGGTTAATGTTACCTGCTGGAAGCCATGGCTTCTCAAAAAAATTAACTTCCACTCCTGGCACAGGTTACATGTCTTATACCTTTCCTCTCTGACAGATATACATGGTGACAGGTAATTTAGGAAAAACACGTTTCCACTAGCCTGCACCAAACCTGCTCCTCCCAGTGGGAGTGGTAAGAGTGAACCAACATTTTAGTCATGTTCCTGAACGCATAATGGAAAGTTGCCCAGAAAACTTTGATGGTAATATTGATCTATGAACATGCACAGAATAGAAAGAGATGAATTTTGCTCAAGCTTCCTTTTGCAGAAAACAAGATGTTTTCTTCTTCTATTTCCCTGAAATATTGCTGTCCTGTTCTTGCACAAGTCTCTGTCATTTGCAGAAAGCTGTTTTGGGAGACTTGTTTTCACAGTCTCTGATACATTAAAGCCTGGCTCAGTGTGTATGGCATTAATGAGTGAGTCAGTAGCATACCTGAATTTCCAGCCTGCAGCTAAAACCAAAACTGGTTGGAATTGAACAATACGATCAACATATCAACATGTTATTTTTAAAAAATAAACAATATAAAATAAACAAGAGAAGGAGGGAGAAATTCAAATGAGATATCCTTGATCTTCTTAGTTTAAAACATATTAATCCCAGATTTGGCAGGAGGAACCAGCACTTATCATTAACAACACTTTTTGGTAAGCTCTCTTGGCTCCTGCAGGCCAAACCCCCTGAAGCAAGCAGCAGCATTTCAGATAACAGGGGTATGACATATAAAAGGACTGCAGATCACATGCTGGATGGCATTCATAAAAGGATCTGGACCCCAGATGTACCTAGCTGTCCACTGTATAAAAGTACAAGTCTCCCATAAGTCCTATGTCCTAGATGCCAGGCGTAGACAAGTATATCAAGTGTCCTACAGCATTTCATATGGTCTGGACACCTATATGTGAGCAACTGATTCATGCCCTAATGGAGCTGAGATGCTTTTCCAGGATGAGGAGGAAGGTGAGGAACTGAAGATATGAAGATCATTCATACTTCAGCAATTGGTTCCTGTCTGGCAGGCCAGTGAGGGGAAGTCTGAGTTACTTACTGCCATGTCATGCTAGGCTTGTTTACCAGGCAATGAGAGATTTACTGGCAGCTCACACTTCACTGGAAAATGTGTAGAAAAAAGCCCTGAACTCAAAGCTCAGCGTGACCTGGTAGGTAATCTGGGCATAACCCTTCTGATGCTTGTTGGCAGCACTTCTACAGAGATGAATGGGAGCCAACTGCTCCAGGCTGCTGCATAGTACTAGGACATATTTCAATATGCTGATTTAATCTATCTACCTGGCTAAAGCTGTTGTAGTCTTGAAGGCAGGATGATACAATGCCCAACTGGAAATACATAAAGAGACGTGATAGAAAGCAGGGGACCTGGTAATGTTGGTGTGTTATGATGATGGAAAAAGAAATAATTGGTTTTGGCAGCTGAAGGAAGAAGTTCAGGTGAAATACTGGAATTTCCTTTCATAAATCTGAGAATCTCTAGGAGATGAAATACATCATTTACCACCACTAGAGAGAAAGACTCAGTATTGTGGTTGGTTGATATTTAAGAACCATACTGATATTAAGTCTTCCATCTTGCAGAAGGATGAACTTAATTCATATTCTTCAACGTACATAGCTCCCTCCAAAGACAAAGAAGATTTTATGAGCCATGACCAGGTAGACACTGTACTTTTTTCCTTTCCAGTTATTTTCTAGAAATCCTTCAATAAATATCCAGGATATTTAAAATGCTAAGCCAGGACAGCGACAGGAGACAAAAATGAGGTAAGTTTGAACTTTTATTTTATTTGCTTTGAAGTCATAAGAAATCCATACATATAGACTGATTCTTACAGTCTTAAAGTGCTGCACCTAAGACCAGTCTTGCACACAAAGGCAGATACTGATCTCACTTGTTGTTCATTACAAAAAGTCACATTAGGGTCAATCTTTTATCCCTAGGATAAAAGTGCTACACTAAGCAAAACTTCTAAGACAATGTTAATTATCAACAGTGAAGAGAAATGGGTATATTAGGGATGGATTAATTCAATCTGGTCCAGGGGTCTTCCTTAAGATAGGGAAAATTTGCCACAGGTGGTACTGAATGTATGAATTTTCTGGATCTTTCTTTGAAAAACGTGTGCTGAGACTAACTATTTCATTTTAAAAAGCACCTGTACTGTAGATTTTGCTACTTTTTGTTTTCCATCAGGATTCCTTGACCTTCAGAATCCAATATTGAATATACATTGAAAAAGGCCTTTTTGTTTCATGGCCATTATTGTTGCTCTCGTGCCCAGCCATTTAGGCAAATGTCCCATTTCCTGATTTCTGATCATCTTTAGTCAATTAACAATTACGAGATTCTGGTGAGTAAAATGCAGACAAGTGCAATACTTCAACTAAGACCCAAACAGGTTTTGCAAAACCATACAATACAATTGAAAAGCCTAGGACTTACGAATAATGGCTGGTTTCATTGTGTCCAACATCTGGGGAATGCAACTTCTGGACTAAGATACGGATGATGCAAATGAAGAGGATGAAGTTCACCTGTTGGGACGGGGAGAAAGGAAACACAAAAAGAAGTAAGAATTATGCTCCTGCAGTATTATTCTCCAGTGAAAAGAGATGATTATTAAAGGGGATTCCTTTCACTGCAATATTTTTGCCATGGAGCAAGCCGTTGTTAACAAGCCATGAGCAGAGAACCCCACTCTAGGAGCACATAGTTAACCGACATAGGATGGCAGCCATCTTGGGCCTGACATCAGCCTGCTTGGGACTTTGTGTCATATATCCCAAGTATGATGATGTCAAACCCATAGAGCACAGCTATGCACGACGTCCTGCTGCGCGGGGGAGCGCCGACGACAGGGTGGGAAAAGAGCCTTGGGAGTTAGCGGAGCGACGAACGTCAAAGCCCTCAGGAGACGGTGACATGGGACCGGCTGCTGAGCATGTCAAAGACTGAGGCGGAAAGCCAAAGAAACCAAAACAAAACACAAAGCAGGATCCACTTAAGCAGGCCTCTTCTCAATGCTACTAGGCATTTCTTCTCTGGAGAGAAGTCAGAGACCTTGTATAGCAACAGAAATACCTCACCAACACAGTGGTGGAAAACGTTATCTTCTACAAGGTTAGACCACACGAATCCAGCTAATACCTAGCTTTTAGATGGTGCTTTTCACTTAAAAATCTCAGACTGCTCCATTAACATACTCAAACAATGCTAATCTTACTTTATAAACAAGGCGTAGAGCTAGTAGATGGCAAGAGTTGAATGAAGATCTACTTGCTTCTAAAGTCCTATCCCTTGAACCATGCTGTTGTTATATACATATACAAAAGTGATTCTGGATTTCTGTGGACTTGGTTCAGTTCTAGTTTGGCAAACAACCTCTTTCTTTATCCTTCCATGTTTAGTGAAGGCACATATAATTCTGATTTTTAGAGATTTCAAGGCTGGTAGGTGTTGTGTTAACCAGCCAATTTTATTTTCTGCAAAAAAACAAATTGTGACATTTCCCCTAGCAATTCCTACATTTATCTCAACAACAGGTGAATAAAGTAGATTAAAGTATCTCTCATTTAGACAATCACTCTTTTTTTTTAGAAGTTTATGAGTGATTGAAATTAATTGTATTTCTTTGTTATGATGCATTACTTAATGATTTTTTATCTATCCCATGCCATTTATTATAGTTTCTGTTCATATTTATTTGTTTATAAAATGGTTTGCATCTGACTTGATGGCAAGTAAAATTTATCAGTTCAAAACAGAATTACTTAGATCAATTACTCTAATGAACATTGATAGCACACAAGTTGCAGCACTGCAGGTAGGATTGGAACTGCTTCCCAGTTTCCTGTCGTATATTAAATATTGACTGTGTTGGCTTGTTGTGGCTAAGAGTAAACATGGAGAAAGAAATAGGGCAGTTATAAGCAGGTGGGGTGTGACTTGAAGGTTTAGTATGGCCTTAGCATTGCATGGTAGAAGATACAGCTATCAGGCAACTGGAGAAGTTGTTCAGCATATTTTTCAACTTAGAATACAATTAAAGGCACTTGACCCATTCCCAGTGCTTAATATCTTTAGGTTGGACAGATTTTTCTAACTTTTAACTTATACATATGTATTTCTTCCTTCAGTTGAGGTCTATGCTTTATTTCAGTTGACATGCAGAAAATGTTGCATTCCTCCCTGCAGAAACCTGCTATTCATCAGATAGCTGTTATCATGGCCTTCCTTTGTGACAGATTTATATGATATCTGCAAAAGTAAAATCAGAAATTGCTGGGTAGACTTTGTTTGGTAATGAGGAAATGATTTACTGACAAAAAGAAAACATAGAATCATTGATCCTAGGAGAATAGGGCGTGTTTCTTTACCAAAAGGTTATCTTGGGGAAGGGAAAACACTATTTTATCTTTCTATGGTGACATAAATATTTTGAGACATGTCATTAAGTATTTTATTTCTTTTCAGTAAGGTGAATAGAGTAAAAAGTAATTATTCAAACTGCTTCAGTTTGGAATCTCTGTATGACAAATGCTACAGAAAAGGTCTCTGTGCAGAGCACGTAATATATGTGGAATAAGAAGAATGTAAGTCTAAGAAAAGATTTCAGTTTAAAAAGAGACACATTTAGTTTGATTTCTGTTGTACTCTTTTTCTTCCCTTCCCACACATTTTTCTTGATTTGAGAAAACTCAAAGCTAAGTTTAACTCAAGTTCATTTGATTTCAAGCTTTGGCTCGATACCTAACATAAGAAACACATAATAGTCAACAAGGATGGAAGTACTCAGAGTTCCTTAGAAGTGTCATGGTTTCTGTGGTCAGAATTGATCATATCCAGAGAAGCAGGGAGTGAGGCATTTTTGCTGATCTGTATGGAAATCAGCCAAGCTTCTCAAGAACTTTAAAAACACATAGCTGGAATCCAACTTTGTATTGGATGCTATTACAAGAGGCAAATACCTGGAGGATTTCATCTAACTTCTTTTTAGCTAGGTAGAAATTTAGGGTAGGACTCACCCCATGTTACTTTATAGTGTCGACACCTACAACTGAACAAGTCACCCTGGGTTCTGCATATGGTGAGCTCAGAGAACAAAAACATTAATGGCAAAATTCATCTGATCTAATTTAGACATATATTGATTCATTACACAAAATGAGTCTTTCTGGGTTTTTAAGCACGTTCCTTGATCTCCTCTGGCTGCAAATTCCCATGGCTACTGCACCAGAATGCCCAGAGCAACCAGATGAGATGGAGCTGGTCTGAGTTAAGTGAGCTCCACTTTGGATGCCCCAACACTCAAGCTCTTCCTGCAGTCAATGGTTAATGGCAAAGATGTTTATCCAAAAGGTGAGCTTCCTTATCCTAAGACAGATATTCAATATACATCACAGCGTCAGTGCCTTTTCTTTGGATTTTTACAGAACACTTCTCAACACGTTTCCACCCCCCCACTTAGTATTAAAGATTTCTTTGCAGAATGTGTTGATACTTTACCAAAATAGACACCAAAATAGGAGCTTTAATGATCCACCAGAAGGGGGATTCTATTATTTCCTCCCAGCACCTAAAAACAAAAAGAAAAAAAATCAGACTTAAAATGTCAGGAAAAGCAAACAAGCAGCTGTGTAACCTTCTCAGGTAATTTGTTTCCCTAAATGCTGAAGTTGGCTGTGACAGGTTATATGAAAAGCACTAAACCTGGCGTGCACGATCTGGGAAGGGCTGACAACTTACTTTGTAGTGGCTTTGAGCACTGGTAGGTAGCATTTGCCCAGATATAATGCTGTGAGAACTTCACTCCTTGGTAATGGAATGGGCTGGAAGATGTTATGTTGGGGTGATAGTGGGGGAGGGCGGATATTTGCTTAATTTCGCCTGCACTGAGGTTTCCTCCAAGGAAGAGTTACCAAAATCACAGATTAGTAAGGCCTCTAATGCTATCCACAATCATGGATAGGGATTTCCTTAAGCACTGATTAGTCAGCACCGTCAGGAAAAATAAAATAAAAATCCCCTTTTGAAAAAGATGACAGAAGGCATATGGTGGGATTTGTCTGACTAAATCTAGCTGGCTGCATCTGAGCTATGGATCTAGTCAGACATGTCCATAAGATCCAGGGTGCAATTTACCTCCTCCTGAATCAGAATGGTCTGCAAACCACACCACTCACCTAGGTCATCTGGAACTGTATTTAAAGGCAACAAGGAAAAAACAAACTAGGAATAAATTAGAAATGACTAATGCAGCTAGGAACACATTTTTGTGCAGTCCTCAAAACAGTCAGGTGATTAAGGGAACATTTTCAGGAGAGCATTCATGAAAATTGGTCTGCATTCATGTTTGAAATAAATTGTTGGAACCCATTATAGACAGTTTTGGCTGGATTCAGCTCATCTAACTCAAAATGCTGACAGAGCAAGTAATGGTAGATGGAGAGACTCACATTTAGGGCACGGTTCCTGAGACCTATTTTAAGCATCACCTTTAGGTTGAGAAAAATTACTGAAGAACTACCCTCCATGGACCACACCGGCTAAATCTCTACTGGCTATTAAAGGAGGCTAGAGTGAATTGCTCAGATACAGATATTTATACTTAGTCAGGTGCACACTGCCCTTTCATTTAGAATTAAAGTGGCCTTAATTATGTCTAGTGCACTTCATTTTTAAAATAAATTCAGGCAGTCTGAATGAAGGTCACTTTACTTTGGAGTTAGAATGTTTCAATAGAGGCTTAATGCTGTTTAACAAATCTTACATAATTAGGTTTTATTTAATCTAGGTTAATTTCTTGTAATTTTTCTCTGTAGGTCATTTTAATATAAAAAAAAATCTACATTAGGTATTAAAATATCCTGTAAATTCACACTCTGTTTTACTTGGTGCAAAAATGTAGCACTTTAAAGCCTCCAGAAAATGCAAAGCAGTCTGTATTTTTATTAAAAATTGCTGGAGCTGAGTGGGAATATATAGTAAGAAGAATTGGTAGTCAGAGTGGTTAAATCCTTAGGTCTCTTTCTCATTTTACAGGGTATTTATTAACGCAGTAAATAAGGTCAGTTTTATGCATATAGAATGAAATCTTAAAAGAATTCAGTAGCCCTAAGGAAATGTGTTAGCATGACTATACATCAAAAACGCAATGAGAAATCTGAGCTGCTTCTCTGACTGAAATAAGGACAAATCAGGACACATTTGGAGAGAGAGAATGCAAGGGAGAAAATGGAGTTAACCATATGCTGTAAATGCAAGATGCCAGTGTATGCACAGTGAGTACATAATGAGCACCTGATTCTGTAACTCTCCGGAGTGTTTTCTCATAAAAGCATTTCAAATTACTCTGGTTTGACTGCTTGAGTCAAAGCATGAGGGAGGGCTGCAAGATCAGATCCTGTTTACTTGCATGTCTCCTTGGGTAGCTCAAATATCTGTCTCATTTACTTATCTGTATTCTATCTATTTCATATATAAAGTATCAAAGGCAGTTGTTAGGTTAAAGAGGATGAAGAACAGATCCCAAGATTTGTCTGGAGAAAAAAAAAAAAAAAAGAAGCAAGAGATTTTAAAGCTGTTCTATGGGAGGAAAAAAGGTGTGTTTATTAAGTTTGTGCTGTGCTAGTGTATGTAGGGTCAGTTCTGCAGGATGTCAAGGGCTGCTCTGAGTGTGGGGCAGCTGCTAAACTTGTGCACCAAATGGGACCATTGGGGGCTGGCCACAAATTCTCTGCAAATATCCTCATCATCAGACCGGGAAGCAAAAAGAGTAAGCCTAAGTTCATGTAACTGCGTGTCTTCACGGAGGTCTGGGAGAATGTCCTGGTGTGTGGTGGCAGGGCAAAGAAAGCCTCTGCTCTGACTGCCTTTGGGGTTACAGAAGGATGTCTGGATTTCTACAACTTCAGGCATTTTATTGGCCTTCCTTGGAGATTAAGGAAGGAAGAATTATACAGAAAAGAGAATTGAGTCCACAGGCTTACCCAACGTTGAAAAAGTAAATCTTCACAATAGTCCAAGCAGTGATGAACACGGAGGGGGCACCTGGAGAGAGAAGAGATGACGCTACTGTTACAAATCATTGTTCACATTTTGAAGGCTGCTCTCCCCCACACTCCCTCTCTCCTGAGTGACTGATGTGATGCCTTCCCTTAACAGTGGGCAAATGTTTCGTGCTATCCGTGCTCACGTGCCTAGCACACAACATTCTGCCTTTCTCTCCCACTGGCCAGGCGGCTTTCCTGTAAATTACTCCCTATCTGATTTATCATGCCATTGCAAAGCCAAACACAAACAAATAAATAAACAAAAGCAACAAAAATGGTGATGGTGAAACACAAGGAGCAGGAATCACTTTAGACTTCCAGTGTGGACACCAGTAACTAAGCCAGTCACCACATTAGCATCAGTGGAGAGAAACATGCAGTTTTAAGACAGAGACCTTCTGAGCTACTTTAGATGTTTCCTTTAGGGCAAGGAGTATTACTTTGGACTCCCTGACTGTGTTGCCTGAATCTCCATTATCAAGGGAGCCTGCACTGACAAGTTCACATGGAGATGACAGCAGCTGGCCATATGAACCTGCCTTCTCTCCTCACCCCATAATCTTCTCCCTGACTAAGGTGGTCCTGTTCCATCCTTGCGGTCCCTCTTTCCTCTTTGATTAGATTTAGATTGGAAATATGCCAGGAAGGAACATCTCTGTTTTGTGTTAGTCACAGTATTGTACATTGTGTATTACTAGTGATTTGCAAATGCAAACAGAACTGCAATGAGTGTGTCCAAATCATTAATTCTTGCATGATCCATTTCAGACACATCACTGATGCTCTTGCAAATGATGGATGACTGAAAGGCCAAAAATCCTTCAAGCACCTATCATTTCCTTGAATTCCCTTTCCTTACCCTAGCAACCTCTGAACATATTACCAATGCAAGACATTTCCTTTAAAATCATACATTTTTCCTTAAAATCTTTCAGCTGTACTGTTCCAAAAGGAAGAGTATCTATGTGCAAGGCAGGTTTAAAGAAGGTCTAACCTGATTAACTGCATCCGAAACAAGGCCTGCTAACATCACCTCTTCTTATGCTTATAGTGTGGAGAGTCGTCTCCCTTCTGCAGTGTGAACCCAAGCGTAACTCCTGTCACTTTCAATGGAAGTTACTCTATGGCTAACTGCTCAAATCCTGAGTCCAGGCATACCCCCGTAGATGACAGAAATGATTTTTTTTTTTCATTTCCTTTCAAGATTACTCCCTGCTCTAATTATTTCCCAGTTTCAGCTATTGAGAACATGGAATAGAAAGCCATTTTTGCTTTATACATAAAACTTCATCTAAGTGGCTTATGGAAAAGAGATCTATTTCCTCTTCAGAGAATGGAGTTGATTTAGTAAGATTAATTTGTGTAAGTTTGCAGTTCAACTCTGGGCAACTTTGTAAGGAGTTTCATTTTGCCTTCCTCAGCATTATTTTATTTTATTTTATTTTATTTTATTTTATTTTATTTTATTTTATTTTATTTTATTTTATTTATTTTATTTTATTTTTGTGTGTGAGACTAGATTCACATTAAAGCTGGAGAAATGCTGAATGCAGTGAGCAGAAGGTTATCACCTTTAGCACACAGGTGTTGATCTCAGGATAGCTACCTAGCTTGAATTCATTAAGACAAGGAGAGCAAGGGACTGCAGAGTCAGGTTCAGTCCAGGAGTCCTGCTTAGTTGAGACCCCCCTTTACAATCTGAGGTCAGTGCATGATACAGCCTTGGGACCCCAGCCAGGATCAGGTGGGAACAACTCACTCTAAAGGTGATGAGGAGTCAACAGTCGTGCAAGTTGCTGAGGTGGCCAAGTCTCAATGAACCTAGCACAAACTGAGCTCTGAAATACCTTTGAAGATTTAGGCTAATACTGGTAAACTCCTCCAGTCACTCAGTCTTGCTCCTGTCTGTACTGAATTCTAGCTTACAATGTAACATATGGGACATCTCTGCCCCCCTGAACCTCCAGGTCTGGGGATTAAAATGCTGTTAAAAATGCCTGCCCAGATCACCTCCTGGAATTCAGGTTTGAGAAGATGCGTACCCCAGCCAATCAAGATGTACCACCAGAAGTACTTCCTCTCCGAAAAGAAGGAGATGACCAGCAGGGTGTGAAGATACAGCCCTTCCACCAGGAGCCAGAAGAAGTTGGCCATGACACAGTATTGGAAGAAAACCATCATGGCCTTGCAGCCTACCTGGAAGAGAAGAAAAAAAATGAGTGGTGAGCTGCAGCATGTTTCCGTAGCAAAAAAACACCAAATTAGCAGTAGACATCTGTGTAGGGAGCGCATCCTCCAGTGAGCCAGCATCTCTGAGCACTGTTGGACTGTGTGAGCCTGGAGATAGAAGCACTCAAGCCTGGTAACCCTGTTAAGCTGTGACCATGATCCCTACCAGCATGGTGCTTCTCTCTGTAGGGTTTGGGTCTGGGGAGCTGGCTTAGTGGCAGAGTGGACACTGGAAGGTCTTGCCCTGATGTGCAGTTACCGGCCCCTCTGCTGGGCTGGGCTTGTGGGGCTGAGCTGTGAGGCAAACCATTGCCCTAGTTCAGAAGAACCCTCCAAAAAGGAGTTACTTTGAACTGAGACCAACCCAGGGACTGGTTTATGGTGCAGCCTATAAACTCTTGATTCTGTGCAATGGAGGTGATCTGCACTGGAGGGGAAACAAGAAGTGGGATTTTTTTTTTTTAATGCTGCTTTTGCTACCAGAGTCAGTGTCCTGATGAACAACATCTTGAGTGACTTTGGCATCACGGTCCCCCAACCATTCTCAATGGGGCTTGCTTAACTGCCTCCCTGAACCCAAAGAAAAAAAGGCTCTGACTTGAACAAACTGACTGCCCAGGATAAAAATAATAAAAACAGCAACAACAGTAAACGAATTTGCCCTTGAAAGCAAAGTCCAATTATAATCACTCTGTGGCCTGGAAGATATTGCAAAAACTGAAGGGGTCTGAGACAGGGGTTTGAAGAAAGTCAAGTCTACAAAGGGCTATGAATGCTCAGTAAAGAAAAGATCCGTGACACATCTTTTTTAAATAAATAAAAGGATAAGGAGACAAAAGAGGGTAAACACTAATGAGCATGGACAGATTTGATTGCATTGGAAGGGGAGAGTTGAAAAGGGAAAGAGGATTATTTTTCTTCGGAAAATGAATAATTAAACGCTGCAACTTGCTGCGAAGATTTCACTGCAGCACAGAAGTAGGATGATTTACAGGCAGTGGGAACAGTCAGCTTACAAATGGAAAAAAAAAAAAAAAAAAGTGAATGGGAAATTTCTGTCTGGCACTCAGTGTGAAAACTGCTGCAAAACACCTAAAGGTAAAAGTCAGATGCCCCAAGAGGTATGGGATCCCTGGCCATTGCCCCAGCAGCTCATGGATGCAGGTCCACAGATGGGTCCTTATTCCCTACAGATTTACAGGGAAGCATTGGTTGCATCATTACACATAGCCATGTTATCTAAACATCCTTGAGATGCTGATTCAGCTGGCTTCACTGAGTCTGCTTGGGTTATGCCCTGCTCTTGTTGGGACGAGGGCATGAGGACCAGGCTCACAGCACTCCCTGGTTAGCAGCCTGCCCTTGCTGCTCTGCGTGTGCACGATGGAGAATTTACAGTAGTAATTGATTTGCACCAGTGACAAGCTCATACATCCTCCTGCTCACCTCTCCTGCTGAAAACAGTTGCTATGAAACCCACCAGTTAAAAAAGAAGCGTAGAAAATGTTTTCTCGGTGCAACATGTTTTGGAGAAAGACTTTTCCCCGCTGATCACTCAAAATTAATTCAACCCTCTCCTAGCACCCGCCAGTATGTCATGCTGGGGGATCCTCACGGGCTCCTGCTAATCAATTTATATGCACTTCAGCTCCCCTCTGTGAGGCAGATGGCATAAACAGAGACTTGCTGCAGGGTGGCAGTGGGGGAAGGTGGAGGCAGAGCAGGCACTTCACTCCCAGGCAGTGAAGGTGACAGGGAGCTGAGCTGACAAGGGCTCAGGATGTGGCATCCTCCCCCCTGTGGCATCCCTGTGCTCTTCGTTTCTCCCTGCCTCTGTGTGCATATGGCTGTGTGACACTGACACACCTCATTTCTTTTGCCTGAAGCCTTGGTGTGTCTGCAGCCAGTGGGGATTTGCTGGTGTGAGTGTGCTCAGCAGTGTTTGGCCCTAATTCAGCAGCTTGCAGGTGAGATGTGAGGTTTAAGGGAGCAAACTTCGTGCACCACGCTCCTCAAGTATGAATTTGCTTTGGGGAATTAATTTTTGGGGAATCCTTTCTGGATGGCTGTGTTGGAGCTCCAGCAGAGTCCTGTGACTGGAGCATGCCACAAGGGGCTGGGATGGTCTACAGAATCGGGAAAGACACCTCACAAAAAATGTGTGTGATTTTTTGTGTAAGAGAGGCTTTCTGACAGAAATCCCCAACTTGAGTTTGCAGAACTACTGCTGTCACAGAGAGGAAACTGCACTGAACTCTGCAGCAGCATTTGCCCCATGTAAGGGTGCCCGGATCCATCACCTCTTCCCCCCTGACCAATGGCAGCTACTTTTGTGGTAGTCTCTGGCCTTCACCTCCTTCCCTAACACAGCACTGGTGCCTTGTTACAGCCTTGAGGCAAATTACAAACATGGGCAACAGCTGTTTTTTCTCAACTCCTTTCCTAAGGGGGCTGTAGCTTTGCAATTCTCTGATCTGTGTTGCGAGATATTGGGCTATTTGAGCAGTTGCTACCACCCCAGGCATTTTTTGCTTTACCTGGAGAAAAGATATTTTTATGCATCAATGCGAGCACACGGCAATAATGTTTTGCAGCCTGGAATCCCCTGTGACACAGGATTGTCCTGCCCCGGAACAGTTTTGGATGCACTGGCATGGACCAAGCTCATCTGGCTGCCTACAGTGAAGCTCTAATGCTAACTCATGGTACTTATGGTACTTCCTTGCTGCCTGGGTTTCTTTCTACCTTTACGTAATGGGTATGATTAAACGAGACCATCTATTTCGCAGAGAGATGCAGTTTCACTGTTGACTGCAGTGTTGTTCTTCCCTTGAATCCTTCTTGACAGCTCTGTGACACATTCAGAAATCAGTCCTTCCTGGCTTTTGAGAGACCTCTTCATTATTACATGCAGCACCTGGTAATGGGTCTCTGCCTTTCTCATCAGCTGTATTCAGCCTCACAATGGCTGTTACAATGCTGGGAAACAAAATCCGTGTTTACCAAAGAGGCTTTACCCTTTCAATGACAGGCACTAGGCAGACATGAGCTATAACATCTCACAGATGATTTTTTTCATTAAAGATCAGACCTCACAACATGTCAGTGTTGAAAGACCAATACAGGTTATGTTTAGAAAAGGCATTTCAGCAGGAAAAGCAGCATTACAACACTTTTTTTTTTTTTCCTTCTACTTTTCCTTCCACTACCTCACTTGCAAAAACTTATTTCCCTGTCTTTCTCCAGGCAGCTTGTCCTGCTTGCGTCCATTCAAGACATTGCAGTGAGATGATCTTCCCTGGCTTTGCTGATGTGATATCTACCCAACTGGCTCCTCTCTGCTTTCCATCTTTGGGACTGCATTAGACATGGGATATTTGCTTTTCCCATGAAGGTCCCCTTTCTTTCCACGTGTGCTACTAGCCACTATCTGTGGAGACTGATTCTGCCTCCAGCTAAGGAGAGATGGAAACCTCTTAACCCCAGACAGGCACATTTGTGCTTCTCTTTAAATTCATCATAGGCAATAAGAAAATTTCATTTTAATTGCTACAGAAGTTTACTTAAGGATGAGATGAGGCATGCCTTAGAACTATTGCATGGGCCTCCCTTGCTTTATTGTGGCCAACCATCTATGTTGGACTCTTTAACTGAGGACTATCTGAAAAAGAGAAACTTTGCAAAATTTGGCTGCTTATCAGTAAGCTGCTTATGACATCGTAGGCACTGTCACATATTTTGTTGGGCTTCCAGCTGCTGCTCCAGAAGGATGGAGAACTACAGGCTCTGTATCACTTTCCTGTGTGCTGTGTGATGGGACAGTGATATTATTTGGATATTCACAGGCATTCTAAAGGGTATGAGATTTCCATTGTCAGATGGCAGATGTCTGCCCATTATGGAGAATCCTTAAAGGTGCTGAGCTAGCAAGTAATGGAAAAATCTTATTTATTGCAGTGCTGAATGTCCTGAAGTACACTAGAAAGAAAGGCTAGTCTCCTCAAATTTAAACACATCTTTGGTCACATCTTTTATTATTATTATTATTATTATTATTATTATTATTATTATTATTATTATTATTATTATTATTATTATTATTTCTATTATGAACACATCCTTTTTCTATTATTTTTCATGTTAGTTGTGCAAAACACATGCAAAATGCTGTCTTGCTGATCATGGAGTGTTTAGCATTTAGCTCATATATGGGTGTGAATGTCTGCTTTCTGGATAGGAAACAGGCTCATGGCTTTCAAAGCAATGAGTCCATGTCATGCTGGGCATTTATTACCCTCCTAGACAGAGCTGCTCTGAGATAGCACTGATTTAGACACGGAGAAGTGTAATGGTCTAAAAGCTAAAAAAGGAATAGAGAAAGTAGAAGAGATTGCATTTGCTTTGAAAGAGAACATATTACAGTCATTTTAAGGAAAATATTTAATGGGCTTTTGAACTTAGGGATGTAGCCTGTCCTTCCAAAAAAGAAGGGGTGAGGAGAGATGAAGCACATGAGTGTTTAGACTGCTGGTGTGACTCAAATAAATATATTTAGTTGAGAAGCTGGGCAAAAAATTTAGGATTCAAAAATTCAAAGCTTACTGTAATGATGGTAAAACATCAGAGTTACTCACAGTCAGAACAGAGTTCATGTGCTACAGTAACTGCAAAGACCACAGCCCACTTTGTCAAGTCACAGGAAAAAAACACTCAAGACACAACCAGGCTTTCTGAGAGAGGGGTAAAGAGAAAGGGCATAAGGGTGGAAAAAAACAAGGCAGAGCAATGACCACAGGCTACCAGGCTCTGTACCGCACCTAGCAGCTTTTTGCTTTAATGTTAGACCTGAGACAAAAAAAAACCACAAAACATTTTTGTTGAAAAACTGATGTAGTGACTAGCTGACCTACCTAGAGAAATGCAGTCCAGATAAAGGGGGCAGTGATTAACACAGATCTGAACCTGTT